ACACCAATATAATACTTAGATATACTTTGATTGTTCTCTTTTATTGTATTTATCTAGAAAAATTATACTTTACAGATATGTAATTTCCTTTTTGTTCAATTTTTAAACTCCTTATACATAACTTTGCAGTAATTTTTAAATTCTGAATTTGTTATCATGTAGTCTTAATTTTACGCAGGGCCCCTTTTGATACCAGCCTATGACTGATGGAGCTACTCTGCCTAAATGAAGATGACATGACTTGACGTGACTTAAGGAGTGGCGGGACTGAACAAAATCATTTACGTAGTTTCTGTTGACGCTGACTGTAAGTGTCGGTAATCATACGGTTTCGAATTCAATTTGGAATTAATTTGCACAACTGAGTTTTTCAAAAAGCCGAAATTACAGGAGCCGCTTCGGCGAGTGCAATTTGAGCTTTTTGAAAAACTCACAAGTGGAAATTATTTCCAAATTGAACGAGAAAAACTGTATGATTAGTTATTGATGATATAAACATGAAACAATTTGCGTGGAGAAAGTGTCGGAATATCTTTTTTGAAGCCATTTTTTTTTTCATTCGAGAAAACTTTTTTCAAAGTTTCCGCTCAAAATTGACCTCATCATTTTTCGTGATATCATTGACTCAGAAAATTTCCTATTGTCTTTCAACCAATTATAATCCAGAATTACGATGTGTAATTTCTACTGGTGATACACGTTTTGCACTGTTGTTATTCTTTTTGCACTGGTGTTACACTTAAACTGCACTGCTCTCAGCCAATCAGAATTATGTAATTTTTTTTTATGTATATTATTATTCAACGTTATAAATCCAAAACCCCTAAATAGCACCAAAAGAAGTGATTTGTCTCCCCTAACTTTTGATTATTGGCTATTTAGCGATTTTTTCAGCCCTTAATAAGGATCCATTCAGAAGAGTTTCAAGTCACGGCCATAGGGGAAAAAAAACACAATTTACAAGCAGCTAAAAGAAACATCAATAACTTGAGATGTTCCAATGTGCAATAAAGGGGAAGGTGGCCATTGGTCCAGTAAATATTGTCAAACAAGTTGTTTCGGAAGGAGTTTTCTGTATTCAGTTCAATAGGCAAGCATGATTTCCACCAAAGGTTTATTCTTAAAAGACACAAAAATTCATTTCACTGAAACATATATATAAGAAATATATTTCAAAAGCCAC